CTACTTCCGTAGTGATACTGCCTCGGAAACCCAATGAGGGGTCGCTATGAGTCGGGGCTGACTCGACAGCACATAACAACAACAACAACAAGTCAATTTCAACTCATGGTGACCCCATGTGTAATACATACAAATGGTATAAAAGCCACAAGGCACCAAAAGACACAAAGGTTAATTGGTGGAAAATTTCCCTCTAATCTTTGATTTTTAGTCACCAGTTTATCTCCATGAAGGCAGCCTCTGTTGCCATTATTTTTTTAAAAATGTATCCTTTTGGGAAGACATTATGTGTATACATCATAGAGTTCTGTGGGTGGCACAGTTTATGCTTGGCTGCTAACCAAAGGTTGGTGGTTTGAACCTACCCAGCAGTCCAGCAGTGCCTCAGAAGAAAGGCCTGGTGATCTGTTTCTGTAGAGGTGACAGCCAAGAAAACCCTATGAAGTACTCTCACTCTGTAACACATGGGGTTGCCATGAGTGAGAATCAATTCAACAGCAAGTGGAACTAGTAGGTAGATGGCACTAAAGACCCCTCCTATAGTCACAAAATTATCACACCCAGATTTTAGGTCCAACACCAGATTCTTCCCTCCGCCCCCCAGGGACTGTGTCTGCTCTCACATGTCCCAATGACCAGAGTACAACCAGAAGCAAAAAAAATCTCCATGTGTGTGTTTTCTGTTTGTTTTTGCCTTCCCAGCTGGGCTTGGAGCGTTTCAACGCAGTTGGCATCTTGGGGTTTAACTCAGTGGAGTGGTTTATTGCTGGAATTGGTGCCATCTTAGCAGGGTAAGATCACTGACGTGATTCATTGTGAGTGTTGACAAGCCACGGGCAACCCTGGGCCAGTTCAGACTGAGGTATGAAAAGGAATGTCATGGGGAGTCCCAGGCTAGCAGGCAACACAGACACACAAACACATCATTCTGGTTGAGCGTCATGTGTAATGACATCATTACACCAGGGCTTTTAGACTTTGTTTTTCTACAGTCGAAACAACAATGAGAGAAAGCATTTAGAGATTTCTGATTGTGTGCTAGCCATTGTGTTCTGTCCTTGGGATCCTGTAAAACCTCATCCCAGCAATGTGAACTGGCTCCTATGGTTTCCTATTTACAGATGGAAAAACTGAGGCTCGTGCAGCCTGTGGGCAGCAGAGCCACAACCTGAACCCAGATAGGAGTGAATGAATGAAACTCCGTTGGCTGTAGCTGGGAGTAGGGGAGGTGCCAATGCAGGGGATATGTGTTTTCACCTTAGGGGCTGATGCCCCAGGTGACTCAGTTAGTCCTTAAGTGAACGGCAATTGACCAGATCGGAAGCTGGAACACAGGTGGGCTATCCTGTCCTAAGTATTTTGAAGTCATGTGAGAAAAGTCAATGTGAAATGGCCATGTTTGATGTTTGGGTCTGTGGGTGAGCCCTGAAAGAAAAACATCAGTGGTCTTTCGCTACTTTGTGGTTTCTCCTTCTCCTGGCACGGTTGACATTTGGGACTGGGTCATTCTCTGTCATTGGGGGCTTTGGGACTAGGTCATTCTCTGTTACTGGGAGCTTTGGGACCAAGTAATTCTCTGTCATTGGGGGTTGTCCCATGCATTGTAGGACTTTTGCTGCATCCCTGGCCTTTGCCCACCAGATGCCAGCAGCACCCCCCACAGCCATGGCAATCAAAATGTCTCTAGATATCACCCCCCCCAAAAAAAGACATAAATATAAGTTTTATGCACAAAGATGTTTCTTTCCCCCACACACACATACTTGGTTTTTATTTTATTTTATTTTTTGCAGTGTTCCCTCCCTTCCCCTCCCACCCCAGCACAAAGATGTTTCTTGCTAGTGTTACTGGTGATGGTAAAAGAAAAAAAAAAA